GGCGGAGTTTTCCTCAATGAATGACATTAACTCTGATACATTCTTTAACTTAAAGATATACAACGAACTAGAATTCAACCTAATGATTGGAGCAAGGACACGATATTTTTGAACACTTAAGCAAAAACTAATGGCGTCGTGTCTGCCTCTCGTTGCCAGTCCATGTAATAACTTGCTGTATCTAACAAATTTAGGGTCGTCTGCAAAATCATCAACAATGATTAAAATTGAATGTAGTTTCTTCATCTTCTGTTCTTTCATATAATGAATTATCTTTCTTTGTGTGTTAATTATTTCTTCCAGTTCTTCAGGTTGGTAGGTGTCATAATATAACTTTTCTTTTTCATCATCAACCTTCATATTATCTTTTTGATATTTCTTGACTTCAACGAAGGTAGGGTCATTATGAACCGACGGGCTAAAAATGAATATACGGGCGAAGCAGTCCCTATAAACATTTAGGATAAGGTTTTGAATTAAAACTGTTTTGCCACCCGTTGATGAAGCAACAACAATTGAGCGAAAAGGTAGTTTTGGTACATGTTCATATTTAGATTGTTTGAAATCGTAATCAGTTATATTTATTGGTTTTATTATTGGAACATCAGACATAATAAAATAATATTAAAGTTATTTAGAAAATATTTTATATTTATTATTTTATATGAATAGAAGTTATTCAGATTATATTGATATAATAGATAAAGTAGAGAATATAGAACAAGTAATAATAACCGATAATAAAATTAAGAAATGTTGTTATTATTCATTAGAATTAATTAAGTTAGGAATACAATATATTAAAAATATAAATATTAATATAGATGGGAAGAAAGAAAAAGAATAAGTCCGAGCCAGTTGTTTCTTCAACTGATGAAGAAAAAGAAGAAATTGTTAAAGAAACATCAGTTATTGAGTTTGCTTGTCCAATGTGTAAAAAGATGTTAGAAATGAAAAATGAATTAGAAATTCAAAAGAAAGGAAATTGTAAATGTTCGTGTATTCCGACAAGTTTCAAACTAAGTAAAAACGATAAACGAATAAATATCGATAAAACCAAAGACAGTATCAATTTAGAAACAGATGTTCATAATATAACTTTTAAATGGGGTCGGCAAGCATCACCATCCGATAGTGGCGATAAGGAAACTCAGGAAACTGTTAAACAAATGATGAAAAAATAGTATTTAAAGAGTAGATTTAACATAATTGCAACATTTAGTTTTAAAAGTTTAGTTTTATAATTTAGTATATATGGAGGAACATTTAGCGAACATTGACAGTAGTTTAGAGTTGTTGTTTCCAAGATTAGAAAAAGTGTTGGAGCAAAATGAAAACATACTGAAAATCTTAAAGAGCTTGAATATTAAACCTACATATGATAACAATAACAATTATCAAGCAAAAGAAGTAGATAGAGACAGTAGCGAATACAAAAATAAACGAAACATTTATGTTAAAAAACTGAATGAAAAAATCATAAAAGAACCTAAACAATCAAGTCTGGATTACTATCAAGTCAAGTATAAAGAAGACACCAAGAAATACGTTTAATCATTAACTAACAAAATTTCGTGTCTCAAAAGCGGTTTGTTTATTTCTGCTACTTTGTAAGTTTTATTACCCATAATATCATATTCAATTTTATCGATATTGAATATTTTATTAGACCATTTAGAGTTATACTCCTTTCTGTCGGTGTAATTACCCCTTTTCTTTTGAAACACTTTTACCTTGTCGTTCTCCACTATTCTGGGATACTTTCTTTTGTTTTTTCTCGTAGTTTAAGATTGACCTTTACATTTATTTCATTGTCGTCCTTGTGTGCTTCAGACGGTGTCATCCTTGTTGATGAGTGTGATGTGCTGTTATACTGTTTCAATGCCGGCGTTAGGGCGTCGGTCCATTTCATGTTGTTAAACCTAACTCTATCGTGAATTTTGTTTTTCATCGTTCTAATAAAACGCTCGGCCACATTTGCGTGGGTCTTCGTAACGATGTGGTTTATTCCTTCACTGTTGAAGAAATCCTGAACGTGATTTTTAGTTGCAAACGCTCCGTCGTCATCAGAATACACGGACATCGGATAACCCATCTTTTTAAAGCTTGCTCTCAACGCCTTCAAAACGTTCTCTCCGTCTCTTTCCTCCATCGGTATTACATCTGCTAATTTACTGAAGATGTCAATCACGACTAAAGCATACTGTGGAACGTTCTTGTCTTTTGCTAAAGGAGACATATGCATTATGTCTATTTGATATTCATATCGTGCGAATGGAGCGGTATAGGAATTAGTTCCTCTATAATTTTTGATTTGTTTATTTGGTTGTTTCTTTAAGAAAGACTTTACATCGTCTAATGTTATTGTTGGGTCTTCTTCCTTTGCCTTCTTGTGTGTCGCTTGTGTGCTTCCGAAACCCTCGTCTAAGTCGTAATAGATGTTGCTGATTATTTGGTCTTTTGTTAATCTCGCCATTATATTAAATTGTTAGAAAATATTTTTTCAATAAAAACCCCGCCCCTTAACATAAAATAAAAAACTACTTAAAGAAATATTAACTTATTATATTAAGTGAAAATATGACTGAAAATGTCGGAGTGATTGCTGACTTATCAAACTGGGTGCTATCAGACGAAGAAGATGATGATAATGACAGTTATAAAAAGGAATTAGATGACGAGTTAAACAAAATAAAGGATTTCGTCAAAAGACACCCTTTGCCATCAGTTGATGAAAACGAAGAATTCTGGAAAGATGTTATTAACAGGTTTAGGGATAATAGCGGATTAAACTTGATGACAATATACTCATTTGTTAGGTTTGACATCATGAAAGAAATGTATGAAAACCTAACAGATGAAAACATCATAAAAGACTGTGGTAAAAAGTTAAACCGAGATGGGCAGTTTAATGCTATGATTATTAACACTATATCTTATCGGGAGCGATACGGAAACTAAACACAGAAGACAGTCTAGTAGATGGACAGATGCGAATTATTGAATTCTGGTGGGATGGAATAGGTGGATGGAAAGCGTGAGTGATTTAGTTTAATGATATTATTCAATTATAATATGATTAAACCTAGTTTTTATAATCTAACAATGAGGTTAAGACATTTAAATTAAACCTGAAACCCAGACCAGCCGACCAGCAACCCCTAGCCAAAACTACTTAAAGAGAAAACCTTATATATTAAGAGAAAAATGAGTAAGGGTAAAATGTCAGAGAATAATTTTATGGTTGTGAATTGCGCTAGCTTACCTGAAGGCTTAGTTTCAATCATCACTACTTACATTAATGGTAGTGAAGGGTGGCGAAGACTGAAACAATGTGATGCTTTAAGAGAATTACAAAGGAAATGGAAACCGTCTATTTACACTGAACGAGTAGGAGAAAGTAGATATTATGTTGAGATTCGCAATAAATGCTTAAAAGGTGATAAAGCGCTTTCATATGCGTTGAAACCACCAAAAGAATTATTAAGAATGATGAAGTATGATGAAGAAATACAGGTTGGAATAGTAGTTAGTTCAAAAATTATGTATAATAATAATATTTGCAACAGTCGTTCTTATTCATCATCTAAACAGAATAAGATTTCAAGTAGAGCGTCATTACAATACCATATTGAACAAGCAGTTGAAGAAACCAAACAGACTATGAAACGACACGAAATCATTACTATCGAACATGTTGCAATTGAAATTTATAGAAAACAGAAACAATGATTTCATGGCTTAATCATAATATTTAATTATAATATGATTAAACAGTGTAAACTTTTATAACCTTTCATTATACTGTAATTTCAACCTATAAAACATAACTAGACAATCACATAAAAATCACATAAAAAGAAGTTGTTAAGATATATTAAGAAATGGTTGTGAAGCAAACTATAATGAATAATTATGGAATGACAGAAGAAAAAGCAACAGAAGACTATGGTGAATTCTTCAAATGCAACAGATGTCTTTATGATAAAACAATTGATGAATTTGGAAATGTAAAAAGTGGAAGAAGATATAAATATTGTCAAGAGTGTAGAACAAAAATAAATAATTGTAGAGATAAACGTCAAAGAAACAAACGACCCACCAACACCCCAGAACTTGATAACTACTAAAAGGGCTACCTCTTTCAAATGAAAAAAATGTTTGCCCCCAGCCCAACAATGAACAAGGCGACAATTTACCCAAATGATTACCTTAACGAAAACGATAAATAAGCTCCCCAAAAACCCTCTATTAAAAACGAATAAGGGGGAACATAGATTTGAGATGAACATAAAAACCAGAACAGGCAACCATCAACAGACCACCCCCCAGGCCCCCTACTTTCTCCATTTTTTCCCCCCCCCCCCAAAAAAACCAAAAAAACGAACACGCATAAATGTAATTGTGTTGGTGTTCCTGTGGTGGTTTCACTTTTAAAAGCAAGCCCAAAAAGGGTAAGAGGTAGGGTTTGTCTCTTTCAGGGAACGCCCCTGAGTCTGGACAATAAGATTTGGAGTCCTTGTTGGACGCGTCTTCGAAGTTTACTTTGGGAAGGCTTGGGAAGGCTTCCTCAAGCCCTCCCCCCAAATTATTACTCGGGGGTCATGATTCCTGCTCAAATGCCGGAGGGTTTTGTAGTCAGGGGGTGCCATTCACGATTCTTCTGTTGGTTCCTTTTAAGCATCCTAAGGGAACATGGAGGTCCGGAGATGGGTGAAACACCTGTTGGCCCTTGGGTTAAGGAGGATTGGCCTACAGAGCTCAGTTTGGGCCTCTTGCTGCAAGAACATGTCACAACTATATTGTAGCTTTCTCCTTTGAGGTTCGAACTTTGACGGCAAAGGCTGGTTGGCCATCGCCAAGCCACTCGCCATCAACCAGCCCATGGGGCTTGATACCAGTTCACGTGAATGAATACATTCACCTGAAATAATGGGAACATACCATGCTTCGAAGGGCGCCCTCCAAAACTCAACCCATTCCCTACACGGAGCCCCGAGATGTTCTCCGGTTTTGATTGGCGCCTGGCGATTGCCTGGCGCATGCCGCACGCGCAGGATCAAGAGTGGGTGCAGGACTGGTTCAGGCCGCTCGGAGGTTTGGGGAGGTGATGCGGACCACCCCTGAAATTCAAATGATCCACTAGGTCCCCCAGTAGTGCCCTTTTACCGTTTCTTTTTGGGGGGAGGGTTCCCCTACTAAAATAGACGTCCAGAAAAAAAGTTGGTACCCTTATTCTAACCTCTCTACTAGAGGACCTAGTCCATATTCCGTGTGGGGAAGATATGGGAAGACCAGTGTATGTTTGTTTGTCCCCGAGATCAACGAGTACGTCTAAGCGACATGAGCTTTTGCGTCAGCTGCCAGAGTGGCAACCTCGCTGATCCAAATCGAGGCATGTTCCTTCACATCTTGTCCTTTCAGGTTAGGTTTCGGGATGCCGAGAGGATGTGGGCCATGTGGCCATGGGTCAAAATACCGTACCCCCAGTGAACATCCCAATCCCGACTAGAATAGACTAAAATGGGTTGTGCACCTACCCCAAAACGGTACCATTGGTTTTGACCCACAGCCACGTAGCAGAAAAAACCCATTATTACCTTTTGGCCTCCCTTTTACGGGAGAAAGTAGCGACCTGACACCACGCCCCGGGGTGCCTCGGAACGAACGGGGTCTTCCTTTTTTCGCGCTCGACGCGGCGAGCCGGAGAGCCAAACCAGGGAGTCAGCAGCTTAGTCTTGGCCGCGCCAGGGGTCGCTGTGCGATTTTGGTGCACTTTGGAACATCTTGGCCTTAAGATCCCCACTGCTTGGTCCCGAAAAAGGGCGACATGAGGCCGGGAGTTGGATTTCACGGCCTCATATGTTCGGCAACTCACGGGAGGCATTGACAGTGACATGGGCATTTTCTGGCATGCAGGGGAGGTACGTGGGGGGGAGATCAATATTTCGTTCGCCTTCCCCCAAATGACCACGGGCAACTTGTCCCATGTAGTGATGACAATCATCGTTTTAGTGGCTTTCCCCAGTGGTCAACTTCTGGCTGTGAGTCAAACCCTGTACCCCTGGTGCACATCAAAATAGGTGTTCATCCTCCCCAAAATGGAGCCATAGAATATGACCCATGGCCATGTAAAGGGACCTTTTGATCAACCCCTACATGTATCCCTTTGGCAGATGATCTTTTACACCGCCTCTTGGGTCTCTCCAACAGCTTCAGTGCGATGTCGTGACTGGTCCGCACCACGAAATGAAACCCATTGTTGAAACCATGCGTTGGTTGGAATTTTGCTGGAATCGAATCATCAGTGCGAAATTGATTTCATCCATCCGCGGCAAACAAGAAATTCTAAGGGATCTAACATTTCACATACATTTACTTCCCTTTCCCATTTTCTCACATCCACCTCCAAGCCTATCAATCATCAACCGCCGATAGGCGAGAGAGGGAAGTGGGTGAATGGGTGAATGAGCGAAGGGAGTGAGTCAGCGGTGTGTGAATCTCTTGGTCACATGCTCAGAGTTGACTTCCACAGCATTTTCTTTTTTAAAGATTGTCGCTTGGGAATCCTTGTCGAGTGGGAGACGGGAGATAAGAGATACCAAGAAACAGACAGTATATGTACTTAGAACGATAACTTGCAACGCATATTGTTTAAGTCTCATTGGCTTATCTCATTCGCGAGTGAATTATTGATGTTTTGTTCATGTCCTTTCTCTTCAATAATAGTTAATGCAAGAACCCATCACCGTGATTATCCCCTCAAGGAAGCAATTTGGGAGCGGACGGGTGTTGAGTTGTTCCACGTCATGGGGCAGTACACAAGATCAGTAGTAAAGATAGTTTCCGCTCAGTGCCACCCCACTTCTTCTTTCGGTTTCCCTTGAGTCTTACCTGTCAGCCAAGCCGAGCCGGGGATGCCTTCATGACCTTCACTTGCCGGTGCTTAGCAGGGAATGAGGGAAGAAACTTGTTCATTCATCCAACTGGTGGTTTCCTTTGTGGGATTCCACACATTCATTCCCTCATTCCCTGCCTAATTGCACCAGCCCTTGGGATCGAAGAAGCTCGGCAGGGAAGGCTCGCAGCGGCCCATGCTGGGCTCAGGCGGGGCAAGGTCCATGGCGGATGGGGGGCTCACTCTGCCCATGTCCTGCAAGGCAACCGCGGGATTTTTTTGCGAACGAAGCTCATGATTGGGGCCTCTCCTTCTCAGGGTTGAGAGAAGAAAGAGCCGTGCAAAAGGAAGCCTTTCTCAATTTGAGGGTTTCCTCACTGAAAGCGCGCTGTCATTGGGGGAATGTCCGGGGATGAAAGCCGCGAGTTCATGGAGCTGAGCAGGCAGTTGATTCTTTGCATGGTTGCGGGACACCCTCCCCCTTCTATTGATCAACCATGTCTTGTTTTGAATCCTGATTATATCAATTTGGGAATCTGGATGAGTGTGCCTAGCCAAGGATTTGCAGGAAAACTGTGCTGTTTGCATCCCTCCAACAATGAACAGGACAAAAACAAGCTGTAAACAACCAATAACCATATTTCTCGGTTGCTTTCAGCTCCCCTGCTAAAAGTGACTGACGTTTAGTGGTTCGATGGAAAACCTATTTGTTGGCAAAAAGCTAAAGTCCTCACATCCAAGCAGAATGCACGAAAGATATGGGATACTTCGCTCCGTGCCTTGTCACAGCCCGCCGCAGCGGTGACGGACACTCCACAGCTGGCGTGCACGAATGAGGGCGAGCTCGGGCCTCAGGGCAATGCAAGGCCCACAAGAGTGATTTCCTGACAGTGTCACTTCGGCAAAGAAAATCTGTCCCAACTTTGTTGGCAAACCTGATTTCCGGCATCAGTACATCCCTATTTGGGCGCTTCTCTTTTTGGTGGTACCCCTTTTAGGGTGTGCTTTAAAGGTAAACCGCCAGGAAAACCACCATCGAAGCCATTTTTTCGGGGGAAAGGGGTTCCCTTTTTAAAAACAGACCGCCCCTCCCCACCCCTCTTCTTGTTGGGAGGTAAACCAGAAGAATAAAACTCCAAACCGCCCGTGCCGCTCCACCTCCACGCCGGGTCGGGCACGTCGCCGCCGCCAGTCGAGTCGCCAGGCTTCGCCTGGGTGGTCTTCGCCTCCCACCGGCACCGCGACGAGGCGCTCCACAAGATGCAGGCCCTCGAAACCGACGGCCGAGGCGCTGCGGACACAGGTTGGGCTAAAATGGCTCAAGGGGGAGGGGGGAAGGAGGGGGGACTGTCTGACTTTTGCTTTTTGGGGTGGAGTTGGTACCTGTGTTTGAGAGACCTTGTGATTGGCAGTCCCCTTCTTTGTTTGGGTTGTCCTTTTGGTTTTCCTTCTGGCTTTCCTTTTGGTTTGCGTGATTTTCATGGGAAAGGACACCTTTTTGTTTTCAGAGACAAGCCCAACAAACAAATCGGAGAGGGAGCGTAGATGCCTTAGGAACTGCCCGTTCTGAAGAGGAGCGTTCATATCCGTTGGCTCCGACGCCTTTTTGATAGCCATGCCCCAGACTTTTCTCCCCACCTCGACCCTTCCTTCAGATCCCCCATTTTGCAATTGAAGGCCGTAGAAGCCTGTAAACCGTCGGTTCCGACGTCAGGCGGGGATTGCCCAAATTTTAAGCCTAGGCCTTGGAAGTTGAAGGCAGGCTGAAATGGACCCCGCTCAAAAAGCGACCGACCAAGCAGGGGGCCGCGGCGAATTTCAGGTCAGGTTGCCTTTTGCCCAAGGCGTTGTTTGCTTTCTAATTGGAAGTTCAGAGGAAATGTGGCACTGGATTAGTACTGTGTAACATCCGGAGCAACACTTCGCCGGTGCCAAGTATAGCCAATGGATCCAGACAACAGACAACTGGCGCTTTATGTCTGGCCTTTCAACCATTCAAAGGCATGGTTCAGATGTTTTAGGCTGACCCCAGGTGATCACCCATGCATGTGTCTTGTCGAAACATGATGATTTTCACGCACACCCACCCGCCCAATTCCTCACCCACTCAAGCACGATGCACCCAGCCACTCGCCCACTCACACGCCTCTCACAGAGATGCAGGCACAGGTTCGTGCACTGCACGCACACGCGTACGCGCACAATCGAAATCTGACATGCACACAAAGAGGCACTCACAAGCGCTCGCACGCAAGCATGACCAGCAACTGCTGAAAAGTCCACACGCAGTCAGCTGCGGAGGAAAGTGTGCGGAATACGGAATACATGGGTCAGTTTTCTTTAGTGAATTCTACAGCTTCATGTTGAGTTTCTAAGATCTTTTGTGGGAACGCCAGTTCTCATGGGATGCATACCTTTCTGGTCGGGTGACTCGAGAGGCATCAAGTACTGGGACCCCAGCACGGGGCAGCACTATCCCCTGAACTTCGGCATCCCGCGGCTGGGTCGCAATGGGTTGGTTACGGTTGACTCGGCTTGGGGGATGTGACCTTTGTTCCTCGGCGCGTCCCTTTTGGTTTGAATCGGATCCCCCCAAAATGGGTCAGCAGTCGGCGTCCCTTTACAACCACCGTACCTGGGGTACCCATCAACAAGAAAGACACCATCCTTTTGATGGCTTCGATCTCATTCTGTATGGTGTCAGAAGTTCAAAGGGGTCCCATATTTGACACCTGCCCACCTTCATTTCGGACCCGAAAAAGAGGCGAAATAGAAAAACAAGCGACTGGGTTCAGCTGTTTGAGTCCCGAGCCACGCTTGACTTGTATGGTTCCTTCAAGAGGAAGCGTGCCAGCGATGTTATGGGGGTAGGCCCAGAAAGGGGGTTGAGGCTTACTTTCCCCCACACTTGTTCACGGTGCGAATCCTTTGGAGCTCATCGCGCACTCTGAAACCTTGCATTGTGTGGTCACGCTGCATCGTTCCCTTAAGGGTCTGAAGAGGCAGGTGCATGTTTGGTAGATATGTTCGTTTGTTTTGGTGATGCCTTTCGAAAATGGAAGACCTGAAGTAAATCTCATGCCTTCAAGCACATCATGCCGATGGAACCCACATAAGGAAGCTTTCCTCTCAAATCAAGCGCAAGAAAAAACACATGTCTGGGGTGCAACCGGTTTTTCCCCAACTCCCGGCCCGCCTCCACCCCCCCACCCCCCCCCCACCCCACCCCCCCGACCCCCTCACAGCCCGAGCGCACCGCGCCGAATCCGAGGCGCTGTGAACCCACCAACGTGCGCTGGGACCACCTGGGCCTCGGGATCTGCTGCCGGCGCTGGCGCTTCCTGGCGGCCCGGGACCCGGGGCTCCAAACGAGCCCGGGGAATAGGTGTCCTTTCTGGTTGGCTTGCTTAAAAATAAATTACATGTTGCAACCATTTGAAACATGGTTTGCTTTTTCCAAAATGAAGGGAAACCACCATTTACAAGGCAATGTTCAGGTGTACAATGTAAGGATCCCTTTTTGGTTGGCTTGCTATCAAATAGAGGGCGATCCCTTGTTTAGATTGTTCTTTTGTTCCATTTACCAGGGACACCCATCTATTTCACCTATGGAGCCCGGGCTACGGCCAAAGGACCGAAATGGAAGCGACCAGGATTCGGCGGGTGGTTTTTGGGGTCGAGCAAAGCAGCAGGAAATGGAGGACCCCACTTAAAGCTGCGCGGCTTTGGCCGACAGCTGACCATTTGTTGATTCTGCTTTTGCAGGGCCAGACTCGCTCCTTTCGCTTGAGCGGTAGCGCTGACTTCTCTTGGCGAAGGGCTTGGGGCAAAGTGCCTTCTTCAATCCTTTGATGTGAGGAGGCCCCAAAACAATACGCCTGCATGGTTGGAGGTGGGCCTCTGAAAAGCAGCAATGTCGAAGACCCTCAGCCAAAAAGGGCTGAGGGGACGCATTGATTTCTTTGGGACCAGTTCCCTTTGCTTCAGATGACTCGTTTGCTTTTTGTCGATCGGTTTCAATTGGGACTGAGGTGTAAATATAGATCATGTTTCCGTGGCACCAGGGTAGGCCATGTTGGTCGCGTCCGAGCCCCAGAGCAGCCTCCCATGGGCAAAGAAAACTGCAGCTAGCAGCTGTACATGCAATCGGTCTTTTACACGTTGCTTAAATGATCTTGTAGCTTGCCGTTTGTGGTGTCAACAGATGTAGATATGAGTTTGTGTGTGTGTGTGTTTTCCCTTTTTTCTCGAGGGTACCTTGTTTGTGGTTCGAAAGGACAACCAACAAGAGCACTCAAACCATCTTAGTGGGTCCCCCCCAAAAAAAGACACTCCCTTGTTATGTACTTGGACCCTCAAAGTTCCCTCAAACATGTGTTATTGCCCCAAAATTTATGGGGTGGAGTCATTTTTTGGTTCTGGGTAGCTTGGGTCCAGGTACGATCTGCTTGCTATTTCTGGGTAACCCTTTTTTTGTCTAGGTCCCCCAGTAGTGCCCTTTTGCCCGTTTTTTGGGGGAGGGTTCCCCAAATTCCCCTACTAAAATAGACTAGCTTATTCTAACCTGGAGGATCTGGTGTGAACGAGTCTACAAAACCGGCACACCCATTTGTTTTCCTTATTTCCTGGTCGTCCCCCGGCCGACTCCGCCGGCCGAATCTGCCGAATGAGGCCCTGCTGGTCTGGCTGCTGACGGCTGGGCTGCTGGCCACCGGGATCTACGTGCCCTACGCGGAGTACGTCACCGGCTTCCTCAACGAGGCCCGGTCCCCCGAAGCGGCGGGGGGGGGGAGGGTGGGGGGGTTGGGGGAGCTGGGGAGGGGTGGGAAGGACCCTTCCATTTAGCTGAAATGAGCATGTTCTTGGTTTTCCCCTGGGTTAGGAAGGGAATCTGTCACTACTGGAAGTTTTTCTAAATGTTTTGTCCAGTGGACTTAAGCAAATGGAAGGACCCCAGCTCAGTTCGCCCGAAAATTGTTTCATTCCAAAGGTTCTCACTTTTTCGCGGCAGAAACAAGAGGGGGCAAAAGAAGTCGGGACCTTGAACAAGCAAGCGGTCTTGGGACGAACATGAAAGCTCTATGTAAGAATCTATTAGGAGCTGCATGTTCAGGTTGGCGAATTCTTGTTCAAGCAGATGGGTGGGTTTCTTGTTTGAGTTCGGAACTCAGATGTTGTGGGCAGGGCGCGCGTGGCTTCTGCCAGTTCAGCAAGATGTTGGACCTAGATATGTATGTCACGAAGGCCAGAATGGAGAGCCCCCTTCAATCGTCCTTTGCGGGCCCATCTCCCGCTTCCCAAAACCAAAGCAACGCAGCAAGAATCCTGGGCCGGAGCAAATCAATGACTCAGTTCGCAGGCTGGGAAGTTCCCGCAGGGCTTCATGATGGGCCTCTTGGGCTTTCTCATTGGCCTCACCTGGTGGGCCATGTGCATGATGATAGGCGCGGGTCGAGCCGCGAGCCGGGCGCGACCCATCAACGGCTCGCCTCCGGCGAGGGGACTTGGTAAGATACAGGCTTGGTGCGATAGGCAGGGAATAAGGGAATGAACCTGGGGAATCCCTGAATAGGACACCACCAGTTGGATGGATCATAGGGTTCATTCCATGTGACTTGGTGGGTGCAAGCTCTCCGTTGGGGCGGCCTTTGTTGGGATTGAACGCCCGACCTCAGTGCCGGGATCTTCGGGGATTTTGGCAGGCCCTTCACTTGGCTCGAAGGGCGCCGGCCAAGGTTTGTTGCGGCAAGGCTCGTGGGGGCTGAAGGGCCTGGCAGCAAATCACAGGCTTTGTTTGGCTGTCAGTTGTCCAGAGGAGGCTCGCAGAAATGCGGCGGGAGCCCGCGGATGTGGGTGGCATTGTCACGTGTGTGGTTGGGAAGTTTCTCTCATCGCCGCGAATTCCCGCTCCCCCCACATACACTTGTAGTTTACTGGTAGTTTTCGGATGTTGTTCCAGCAAGTGTGCAGGAGGGGTAACTTGCCACGTTATTTTGTGTACCGACAGGTCACACTGAAGGCAAATTGGCAAGGCAGAGCCTGCGTCGCTGCGCCAGTTTGCTTTGAACAAGTCACATGCCAGGCGTCTGCTTGAATGTGGCCGGATTTCAGACCATTGAGGATGAGCGGCTTGACTGCCCTTAGCCACGCCTGATACCCATACTCAACCGCGCCGAGCCCAGTTTTGTTGAGAACGCAAGATAGGGGTATGGCAAATTGCCTGGACAATGTCAGTCCTCTTGCCGGACTGGCCCGAAAAGGGAGAGAGCGGTTTTCAGAGACATACACGCATATCATGTATATGGGTGTTTCCTAATATAGGGGAAGCTAGAAATGGGTGACTTCCTTCTTTTTTGTTTTTTCCATTTGTTTTCCTGTTTTTTCCTTTTTTTTTTTTTCGAGCTGTATGTTTGGGGGATCCTAAACGGTTTCCAGCGTGCATCAAAGGACAATCATGTGTGTAGCATCCTAGCACCTTTTGTTGTTGGAATCCATTCTGTAACAGTCCTTTTTTGTCGAGTGTTGGGTTGGATTCTTGCTCATGTGAAATGGCAGAGTATCCATGATTGAGTCAGGTGAATGGCAATGGCCGGCACTGAAGGATCAGCTTGTGAACCATCAAAGCCTCAGAAGGAAAGTTTCGCACCTGCTTCAGCATTGATATTGTTCAGTCACTATACTTACAAGCTACTGACGTGCCTGTCACCCAGATCGCGACACGCATTTTACGGGAATGCAACCGGAAGAGTATCATTCGCAGGGGACTCGGCAGATTCGTTGCCATGTTGCACCCGCAGGTTGAGTATGCAACTGTTCTCAGGCTAGGTCTTGGGGTGGTGCCGCTCCGTCACAGCATTGACCATCAGCTTCAACACCACTTTGGGCACTTGGTCAAATGCATACTGGCAACTCGTGGCCAAAACTGGCTCCCCAATGGTCATCAACCCAACTGTTCTGTTTCCATCAAGATTGCAAGAGCCAGTGTATGCGTCTACGCTTTTGCCAGCCAATATCATTCCCGGTTGTTGGGGGGTGTGGCGTCCCACGAAGTTAAAAAATGTCTTTCATGGAAAATGTTCAGCCCTCCACAGAATAGATCCGGGTTATGAATATGCCTCGGCATTTTCTGACTCGCTCAAATCGAATGGGACCTGTTGGTCTTTCCAGTCTTATGCTGTCTACTTGGGTCTCAAGACTTGACAGTCATTCTCACTGGGTTGCTATTTTTAGAAAATCCCCGGGCTCCAAACCACCAATTAGAGGGAAGCTGAACACAGTCCATTTTGCCAGTCTTTCTCAGCCTTATCCCTTTGGGTCATTGAGTCTCCTGAACTCCTCTCGAGTCCGTTTTCGCTTTGGATTCGCCAGGAACCTCTTCGTCTTCATCTTCTTCACCATCTTTTGTGCAGCGCGCCCGCACGTGGACACGTTTTTTTTTTGTGTGTGTGTGTGTGTGTTTTGTGTTTTTTTGGATCCCCACACGTGGTCGGTGTCGAAAAGAAGCCAAAAGGACACTGACCAGGTCCAATTTTGAGAGCCCACATTGCATGTGCACAAGAAGCTGGAGAGACGTCCAGCTAAAAGCTCGGATCATCCTGCGTCCATACGGTCCATAGGCGTATATAGGCGTATATAGGCGTCCTTTTTGGTTGTTTTGGTAGAAAAAGTAGATGGCGATTCCTGGCTTACCTGGTGGTTTAATCTACCAGGGCATCTATTTGCCCCTAAAAGGACACCTATGCCTGCGTCATCATCACACATTGCCAATGTGAGGCACTCACACAATGCAACTGTCCCACACAAACCGGGGGTCGCACACAAATTCCCCATGTCCTCTTGGGGAAATATGTTCATTTCTCTGGGGCTCAATGTCATCATGCCTCCTTCGTCGTTCTGCTTCGTCTTGCCTTTCCATGCATCATCATGTGTGATCGCTTGCACAGCTAGTCATGTGTTTTGGCATTCGGTGTCTAGAGCTAGTCTTGAGATGTTGACAGGTTGCAGAGAGAGCAAGCTCACTGACCAACCGCCAAAACATCAAAAAAATGCTTCAACTCGAATGACCCCTCGTTCAAGGGGGGTTAATCACAACTCCTAGCCCCAAAATGACCCATGTAGTGGTGAACGTCATCATTTTTTTGGGTGGTTTCCCCAAAAATCATCCCATGGGCCCATGTCTTACAGACCTTTGGATCAACCCCCCCCATTTGGCTGAGGACGTCTTGGCAGCTTGTCGGGTCTTCCTCGACCTCAGGTGGCTGCCTCGGCCTTCAACGTGTACCTCACCTGGTACTACACGCAGGAGCGCATCCGATGGGCTCGACCGAACCGTCGGTTTTCGGGGGGGGGGGGGGGTATGGTGAATCCCAGGGCTTCATCCGGGGTCTGGTCGCTTGGCTCATCCGTTTTTTTTTGGGAGGACTAAGAGCAAACAACTAGTTCGAGGGTTCCCACAATTGGCGCCCCCCATTTCAATTTGGGAAAACCCCTTTGGAATGGGTCGCAGTTTGTTTATTGTTGTTGTCGTTTGATTTTTGTGGGGGGGCGCAACGATGTTTCAAATCGCTAGCTGGCTCCCTGTTTTTTGAGACGACACCGAAGCCACGCAATTGGAGCAGCCTCTGCCGGAGCTCCTTGGAGCACATTGCTTTGTTTTCGGTGGGCAGCGGGCAATGACACCAGCCAACCGTCCACTGGGAGAAAACCATGGGTTTGCCTCGTTCAGTTTCATTTCAACTGATTTCCGTCTCAGAACCAGCAAGTTTCAATCTCGGTGGTTTTGCTTTCTGGCTTGAGCATGTGCGAGGAGGCTGCTCTTGTTTCCCTTTTGTTTGCAAGACAATCAAGCTGCTCATGGAGATCTTCATGTGTTTCCCCGAGAGGCAGACGCCCACCTTGCTTCATTTGCTTTGCGCTGTTGTTCAGGGGCGGTTGGGGGAGTGAGCTTCCCCTTGTAAAATAAGCCAGCCAAAGTACAGGTGTGGTGGATTCCCTGTTTGTTTGGCACCTTTTAATAAATCAGCCAAAGGAAGGTTCATCATGGTGCCCATTTTTGCTGCTTGCTGTGGGCGCTCCTTTAGCTTAATGACTTAGTGGAGTCAAACCAAACAGAAATGAACAACTAACAGCAAACAGTTCCTCACTTGGCCAGTGCCCTCCCCCCAATTTGTCTTCATCTTAAACATGGGTTCCCCTCCCGTGTTTTCTTCATTTTTTGCGGGTTTTCCTTGAAGATCAACCACTCCGTATGCAGGACCTGTGGCAGCACCACACCAGCAGCTGGTTTGAGAGCGTGAAAGGCGGGCTTCCGTTCGCTTAATATGTGAAATGCTTCCGCCCTGTTGGTTTTAAAGGGAATCTACTTAGTCTACTGGACATATTGTATATGTTGTCCGGGGGACGAAAACGCACATGTTTCGTGGAGTCTTAGTTGATGGTTGGGTTCGGTTGATGGGTTGATGGATTGGGGACCCCTGGTTCCTGTGGAGAAATACCACATGGGTAATTTGCAGGAGACTAACCTCCAAGCCACCGATGCAAGCCACCGGCCTGGAAAAGCTTCGAGGGAAGCCGACGAAATTGGCTTCCCGCTGATTCTGCGTGGAGCGCTCTGTGCAACTTGAGGCTTCAAGCAATATTTACCCACATCCGGAGAATCTGAGTGGCACTTGTGGGCAAATGAGGGGCACCATGTGGAGCATGTATGGGATTTTGGCCCGATGTGTTGGTCTACTACAAGGCCTAAACAAATGGAATGAGGGTGTGGGGGGCTTCAAAACTAAACGAAGTCATGATCATGTACGATGATCAATCAACATGTGGTGTACGTATTTAGCCCCTTATGTTCCAAAAGGGGGGCGCCCCGTTTTTTGATGTTTGAAAGGACACCAATATGTGTCCTCCAGTGAGCCTCGGAGTGGCAATTGCGGGCGTTTGTTTTGTTGCTTTAAGTAGGGAAAACTCAATCGTGTTGCATGGTTTAAAGGGAAACAAGGGTTGTTGCGTCCCGGAAAGGATACCTATGACTTCGATGTGCATTAGGTGGGTTTATTTCCAGTTGGCTTAGAATGCCTTTAAATATGACCAATGCTAAACTTGCACAGATGCTATGTTTGATTTCCACCAAAAGGAAATCGAGGAGTATATGACATGACTTCATTGGTTGTCGGTTGGATCCGGCTGATAATCCAGGTGATGGTGCTCCACGTGATAAACCAGACAATAATCCATAATTTCAGAAGAATCAGATCCAGATGATGATTCTGAATCAAGTCCTTCATTAGAACCACCAAATTTCCTTTATTCAGATAGCACCGGCGTCTTTTGCTCCATTTGCTGCTGGGGCACCCTTCGTGGCTTCAAAGAGAATGCCTAGATATTCTGTTGACTCCAGCCCTTTTCCCAGCTTTTGGACGCACAGCCACCATTCGGACCAAAGGTTTCATCCGATTCTCCACAAATTTCGAAGGGTCTGATCGGGGCCCCGGTCCCGCGCCCTGAGTTGCTGGTCAAAAGGACTATTTTCTGAGGCCCCACATACTGTGGATGGACGAAATTCCTTTCGCACCGCTGTGAAACCATGGGAAACCGTTGTTGGTTGGCATTTACAGGGGAATCATCAGAAACCAGGGTTTCTTAGGTGGTGCGAAATGGATTTCGCAACCATCCACAGTATGACCTGGCAGCGTATGGCAGCGTATTCTTTGGGCGACGTTCCGAGGCTTTGGGGCGGGAGGAAACATCCCGCCAGGCAGCTTGCTGACCAGTGCCACAGGCCCGGTGACGACGCTCCGCGACCTCCGGCACCTTGGAAAAAGCCCGTTTTTTTGTTTGTGTGTTTGTTTGCTTGTTTTTTTGTTTTTGACCTTTTTTTTTGACTTGTTTGGTTGTTTGTTGTTTGTTTGGTTGGTTGGTTGGTTAGTTAATTAACTTTAATTCAATTCATTGGGTTGGTTGGTGGCTTGGTTGATTGTCTGGATGCTGAGCCATCAGCAGAGGAAGCTCAGAGCTGCCATTGGGGGGGGGGTCCACAGTTCTCGGAAGCCTCTTTGACTCTTTGGGTCAATGTTTTCTTGGTGGCGAAGCCAGCCATCCGGTCCCTTAGCTTCTTAGCCTTTTAGTGCTTAGTGGTAGTTAGTCACTTTTGGCGGGGGATCTGAAAACGGGCAGCCCAGTATTGAAAAGCCAGAAGGGACCAATCAATTTCAGTGCTTCCAGGGGTTGATTCCAACCATTCTTTTCAATCATTGTTCTTTTCAATAACCTGCCGTTTTTCCTGGGTTTCCGGATGGTTTTCTGGAAAGAAGCCGCACAGAGTGAGTCGTACTCCATATTGAACGCTTGGCAGAATGAGGGGTGAGGCTGACAAAGTCTTTCCACATCCTGGCATCCTGGTGGATGCCATGTTCCTTACAAATGCCTGTGAAGTGTGTTCACAACATCGGACACCCTTAAGGTGTGGCTTGCTATTGGTTTCCGTTTGGTTTCCATCCAAAAGGATCCTAGTTCATCGTCGAGTTTCCCTTTCGCAACCGTTCGAACCATTCTCGTCGGCGTGTTTTTTGCCCGCTCAAGCAAACATGTATAGATTTGACATATGGCTGTGGCTCAAAAAACCGGTACCAAATTGGATCCCTGGCAAGTGGAAACATGGACCAACACCTGCGTAAACCCTCCTGCTTAATTTTGAGCCACACCCGTATCAACAAAACAGGAAGCTACTTTCCTCAGTTTCCAGACGCAACTTGCCTGCGGAAGGCCCGCGGAAGCGCTTCTCCAAACTTAGGAACCTGTTCGCGGAAGGCACCCTTCACGCGAAGGTGTCGCGGGAAATGTTTCGCGGAAGGGTTTGAGACATCAACGCCAACTTGAAAGGGAAGAAACACGCCCCACTCTCGTGGGTTTTCCGTGGCTGAGGAAGGAGATCGACTTCGGATTTCGCAGCCCGGACCGATCGCCGTGCGGATGGCTTCGGGGGGGCAGTTGAAACTGGATCTGAGTCGGTTCCCTTGAAAAGGAGCATACCGACTGGATTGACGGGGGTAGTTTACACAAAACATAGGGGCTTTCAACATGTCACACGCTGGTTGAATCGCCTCCTTCCCTTTGGCCTTGGCTTTGGTTTCCTTTCTTTGCGAGTCGAAGTCTGGCCAAGTTTTAAAACAGCTTGGCTTGGAACTGGCTAAGTCGCTCACAAAGCGGGGCTGTTCCTTGTCTCGCCTCTTTTTTGGGAGTGATCAGCGCTCCTCAATGATGCAGCTTGGCCATTCAACATATTGTCGTGTTTGCCAGGCCAAAAAACCCTTGTTGAATATCTTAGCTGAGCCTGGGGGCACTTTTGGGCTGAGGAACCTGTCTGGTGGAGCGGGGAACGTGGCTGCCGTTGTTTTGATGAAGATTCCCTTCAATCGGCACTTCTTTTCATGAGCAGCCCTGATGTGGCCCCATGATATTCGTCGCCGAGCAATGACTTTGGTCCGCCAATAATCGCGCTCCCCTGCCGCCCCCCACCCCATTTTCCCCGTGCTGCCCTTATTCCCTTTATTATGTAGATGGATTTCCCTTCAAACGTCGGCTGACTGCAGTCCTTGGAGAGTTTTTTAGCTTCAAGCAGCGCCCAGATCCTTGGAAGTTCGTAGCCCAACGCTTTGCGACAGCCGCGGACCATGAACCCGCTTTTTTCATGGGAATGCCCGGTTGTTGAACATGAATGAGCAGTGCTTTTCTGGGTTTTCGGTTGTCTATCTTTGTGGCAGAAAGTCTATCCACGCTTCACCTCGTCAGACGGCCTAAGCTAAAACTAACGAGCACAGAGGACATGCCTGCGGACAACCCTTAGAAAGCTCAGTCACTAAGGACCCAGGCAAACACCGACATGCACAAAACAGCCTCACACCTGTACATTCCGTGCGCCCTGCGCCGCGATGTTCTGGGAACATTGGGCTCTGCAAGATGCAGAGCGCTTGGTGTTCAGATGCTGCAACCAGGAGTCTCGAGTGTATCTTTCATCTGCCAGCAGGTCGCTGCGATCTAGCTTTGGACACTGGCTTGTCGCAGAGTTTTCAGATCGCGTCTCCGAGTTGGAGGAAAGCGACTTCTTCTATTGCACACTTTTCGCCCAGCACGGTGGTTTGGACATGCCAATAACAATTGAGCGCAGCTACCGCAAGGACGCCAAGGTACTTCCGTTGGACGTCATTGACATGGTAGACAACCGGCGATTCTGGAAGGACTTCATAGTCTTCTACCACTTTGCGCAGGATTTTCCATGTTTTTTAGGCTCCATTCTGTGCAGGATGTTCAGCTGCTTGCAGGCTGCATCCCTTCTGAAGGACAATGCTGAGACAGAGGATCTGATCCTTGCTGGGTTTTTGAGAGTGCTCCGGACGCTGGAAGGTGCTGTGAGACGCTGGCAATTGGCCCTTACGCAGCCAGATGGCTGCTATCCCCGGAACGCACATACAATGCTGGCCAATATCATTTGTTCCATCCCTTCTGCTGAAGCAGCCAGATGTGGATTGGCGACGTGGTTTGTTCGTTTAGCGAAAGAGAGCTGTGTGGACGCGGTCAGCTCGTCCACTGAGAAGTTGTTGACCTTGCAGGATGACAGTTCCCGTCCAGGTGGGACGTGGAAGTGCGTTCAGTTCATGAACATTTTGGCTGCTGCCAGCCATTGTGGACTTACAACAAAGGCATCAGCACAGATGTTTGAGTCTTGCTTGAAATGGATCGTTGAGCGTGACAGCGGTGTCAGTGATAACCTTGGCACTGCGAGTGACTGCGGTGTCCAACTGAGTGAGGTGCTCTCAGTGCTCGCCAAGGCCAGCCGTGATTGGTGCAGAAAGGGTTAGCTTGCATGTTCGGACTTTCACTCTTTGCCAACTAGTGGGTTTCCATGAAACCTAAAGTTAAACTTCATGAAAAACCAACAACTGAGTGGCTTGCTTGGATGTTGGCTTCTGAAACCACCAACAGTTAGTCACTTTTTGCAGGGGAGCAGATTTCGCAACCGAGGTTAACCCAGGTGTTGGAAGCCGCCCTGTCGCGGCATGAAGGGCCCGTCACGGCCGCAGACTTTCCGCGGGCCGAGGGAGTTCTTGAGCGGATCTTCGACGGGGAAGACCTGGACTTCTGTCCCAGACGGGGCTTTTCGCAGGAAGAGCGGCAGCAGATCAGCCAGTTCCAGTGCCGGATCTTCGACTTGGCGGCCCCCAGGGTGGGCAGTGGCTTCCGAGAGTCCTTCGGGGAATCCGCGTGGAAGGCTAGACTCGTGAAGGGCTTCCTGCAGGCCAAGATC